CCACTTAGAGGGTCTGTTACTTCTCAACAGCTCCTAGGGCCTTGACTGGGCCTTTAGCGTATGATCGTAGGAGTTAATTAAACCACCCCAGGGAAGGTTCTTCAGTGTATGAGCAAGAGCGAGTACACGGCAGTGTTTGTCTGACGTCACCACATTCCAGGGTTCTGGTAGGAACCGGCTTCAGTTCTTGCTGCTGTTGTTACTTGTCTCTTTGTTGGGGAATAAAAAAATAGTAAAAGCCCAGGCAGATTGCTTTCAATTTCACATTTTGACCTTTTCATTTCCTATTTATGATCTTGGTCAATCTGACATTTTCTTACATCTCTAAATCTTGTTTGTCTCCAATAGTGCCTATTATACTAAGTATTCAGATGACTGAATAAAATAAATGTCCCTGGCATAGTTTCTCGTTCAGTGCCTACAATTTCTAAGGAGAACTAAGATCCTTGTTTTTGTCAAGGGTTTTATGGCCAATGATGCAGTGTCACATTGTCCTCTGACCTCACTAATGTGGGGTCTGAATAAAGGTAGCTACGGCACAGAGTGCTAGTTATCAATCCTAGGATCTGTTCTCTACCCCTGTTTCATCTGGGTTCATGGCTACCTGGGATAAAAACTACATTTCCCAGCTTCCTTTTCAGCCAGGTTCTAGCTAGTGGAGTATGAGAAGAACTGGCCCTGGAGTCTTCCTCCAGCCACAGCTAGACTTCCTGAACCTTGCATCCTTCCTTTATTCCCTTTCTCCATTTTTCTGCCCAGCTGTGGATGGTGAAGTCATCAGCAAAGCCTAGAGCATGGAGCTGAGTGACACGTCTCAGGAAAGCTAGAGGAGTGAGTCCCACGTCGTCTAGTGCCTGAGGATTTCATGGGGCCACCTCACCACCCTACCCTGGCTGGGCCCTGTGTAGGAGTCATCAACTTGTGTTGCCCCCGTTCTCCTGTGCGTTGCCATCAGTGGTCCTTACTGTGGCTTTCTCATGGAACACACCAGAACAACAAGGACAAATCCAAATGAAAGCTACCCCAGAGAGATTTTCCCGAAGTGTATCTATTAATCAAATACAGCCCTCCTCTAACTAGTTCCCAGAAACAAGTCACTGTAGCCGAAGTTATCCTGTTCCTGCCTGGCTCCCGCGGCCCTCAGACCCAAGCAAACACACAGAGACTTACATTATTTATAAACTGTATGGCCTACGGGCCGGGCGGTGGTGGCGCACGCCTTTAATCCCAGCACTCGGGAGGCAGAGGCAGGCGGATCTCTGTGAGTTCGAGGCCAGCCTGTTCTAGCGAGATCCAGGAAAGGCGCAAAGCTACACAGAGAAACCCTGTCTCGAAAAACCAAAAAAAAAAAAACAAAAAAAAAACAAAAAAACTGTATGGCCTACGGGCTCAGGCTTCTTGCTAGCTGTTCTTATATCTTAACCCATTTCTGTTAATCTATAAGTTGCCACGTGGCTCGTGGCTTACTGGTATCTTAACATGTTGCTTCTCATCACGGTGGCTGGCAGTGTCTCCCTGCCTCAGCCTTCCACTTCCCAGAACTCTCCTCTCTGTTTGTCCAGCCTATACTTCCTGCCTGGCTACTGGCCAATCAGCGTTCTATTTATCAATCAATCATAGCAACAAATCACTCTGAAAACTTACACATCATTTCTCTCCAAAGATGTTTCAGAAAATGGGCTGTGGTTGTCTAAATCAGTTTCAAACCAAAGGGTTCCAGTAACAGAATCATTCAAGTGTCATGCCTTGCAAGGACATTTGATGAAAGTTTATTCCAAAGCAAACATTGTGACATCTTTCTTTAAATGTCACTTTCAGGATTTATGTTACGTGCATGGGACATTGAAATTTGCTGAGGACCATTTGCTGAAGACAATGAAATCATGGGGAAAGTCTGAAATTGATGTTTCTCCTGTGAGAAAAGAGTCATATGCAGCCCTTTGTTTTATGTGTCCATTGAGATCCCTATTGTTTTCGGAAGAGTTTGATTAATGGTGTGTTTCTGCTCTCCTTCCCTGAGCTCTTGGAGAAGCAGGTGAATAGACAGCATTATTGAAACTGCTAGAGCAGGGCAGCAACAGAAGTCAATTTGTACTGTGACAAATTCTTTCTAACCCATAATTAAAGGGAAGGAGATATGTGGACCATGGAGGTAGATAATAGAGCACTAAAGCCAGTTATTTTTGAGGGAGGGCCACCCATCTCACTGCCCTCTGAGAAGGAACACTAACCAGTCACTGGAGACCCATCTGATCAGAATAATTCCTTTGTCTCTGTAAGATCAGAATGTAGGATTGGTTCTCTTCTTAGCTTGGCATCCAAGAGGGGGACAGATACAAAATCATACCCTCCAACTCTGATGGGTTCTTCCAAAGCCTCTTTGCATATTCTACTGTGTTGACACATCTCCATGAAACAGTCATGAGCCGCATTGAGAACTACAAGGCTCATGTCCTTGTAAAGTGCTTGTAACAGGATCAGGCCAGATTTTGATCTGTCACTGGCATATGGCAGCCTACAGCCTTCAGCTCAGTACTGACTTCTTTCTCCTGAGGGGACGTTATCCTTTGTAATGTAGTTAGAACTGACCTCCTAAGAAACTAGGGCCCTTCAAATGCAAATTAACATTGTGTGTAGTTGTGGCGTGTGTGAAGACGTGCATATGTCATGGCACACCTGTGGAGGTCAGATAGGACTGTTGGTCTTGACTTCTATCTTATTTGATACAAGGTCTCGTTGCTCCTGGGTACACCAGGCTAGCTAACTCATGAGTACCCATGAATTTTTTCTCCTTTCTCTGCCTCCCATCCTGCTGTATGAGTTCTGGGATTACAGATCTGGGCTTCCATACCCAGTTTGTATGTGGGTTCAGGGACCCAACCTTTGGTCCTCATGCGTTTGCTATAAACACTGAGCCATCTCCTCAGCTTGCAAATTAATATATTCTTTTCCACATTTATTGATTGTGTGTGCACAGCACGGCGCGTGTGTGTGGAGGTCAGAGGGAAGCCTGTGGGAGTCAGTTCTCTCCTCCTACCACATGGGTCCCAGGAACTGAACTTAAGGCAAGGCTGAGCTCGCAGACTGTAAGATGGCCAAGAAGCCTCCCACCCAAAACAGTGCGGTGGCTTTACTGAGCAGGCAGTGACCGAGCGCGACATCTTCCACATTCAGAAAGTTCCACTGTCTGAGGGTCTCTCAGCTTTGCATCTGAACAGCGTTCTGTTTTACAAAGTCATCTGAAGGCAAACCTACTTTTTGTCCAGATCAACACGTGTCCTCGGGTTCTGATCTTGTGACAATATTTACAAGTGGGTGTGTTTTTCAGCCCTGCTGCTCTCCCTCTGATCACAACTTCCTTATTGTGAGTCACGTGTGCAAAACCCTGCCCCTGAAAGGTACGAATCTCTGCCTCGCACTAGACAGCACACAGCAAACCTCCTGCGCCCCCAGAGGGCTTCCTATGGTGTTGGGAACAAAGGAGTCCTCAGGAACATGGATGGGCACTTGCATTTGAATACTGCAAGTTGGAAATGAAACGGGAACTCCACCCGACAGGCTGTTCTAGAAGACTGTCCTCAGAGGCACTGCCTGCCTTGTGCTTACTGTCTTAAACACTAGCATTTATTTGTTTTGAGCTGAACTATAAGCAGCGTTCTCCCTTCCATATGGAAATCATTCCATCCCTTTGAGGAATTCCATTTATAGTGTGGGAAATATCTACAGAACCCAAGACCTCTTATGGAGCAGGCAGAGGCAGGTCCCCCGACAAGAGCACGGTTCCAGGGCTGTGCCTGTGTGCTCATCACCTTGGCTGACTTTTGACCTTGACTGAATAGCTGGACGGATCAGGGAAGAACGTCCACAAAGTGCCAAGTTGCTCAAGAGATGAATGAAAGCAGATGAGAAACGGATGTTAACTCATGCTTGTCCTCTGAGACTAGGAACGCTGAACAGCTGTTGGCAATTTAGCAGAGATTATGACATCCGTCTTAGAGGTGGCGGGAATACATCTCCCAGCTCTAAATATGGACAGTGAGAAAAAGTGAACTCTGCAGTTTGAAGAAACTCACCCAGCTTACTGGAGCCCCAAACAAATGCAACTTCATCAAGAAATAGACCTTCAAGAGAGAAGTGGGGGTGGGGGGCATGTAGCAGAGAGCTGGAGAGGCTTGACTCAATTCCCAGCATCGCAGGGTGAGAGGAAAAAAGGGAAGTCGGAGGGGCAACTATTTGGGGAAAGAAGGGCCGGGGGGGGAAGGAATCAGGCATGAGGAAGGGTAACAGGGGGCTGAATATGATCAAAGTCCGCAGCTGGTCACGGTAATGCACACCTGTAGTCCCAGCACTTGAGTGGCTGAGGCAGGAGGATTTCTGTGAGTTTGAGCAAAGTCTGTGCTATATAAGGAGTACCAACAGAGCCAAAGCTAAATAAGACGCCATCTCAAAGAAACAAAAATAAAAAAATTATACTACATGTATGAAACCTTTCCAACAAAATCCATTATTTTGTACAATTAATATACACTAAGAAAATGAATGGGGAAATAAAGCGTAAAAGTAAGTATGTGTGTGTGCGCGCATGTGCATTTGTCTTAAAGGAACATTCTGCTGGGTTATCGAGATAGAGGGTTAAAGGCGCTTGCTGCCAAGCTTGACAAAGGGGTTTCCGCGTTAGGGACCCATGTGGTGGAGATAGACAACTTCCCCAAGCTGTCCTCTGACCTTCCCAGATGCACCGTGGCACCCCCACCTCCTAAATGAATGCATGCGCATTTTTAAAAGGAACATTCTGCTTAGTTTATAGCAAGTTGATTCATAAACTTACTACTGAAAGTTATAGGTACAGTCTGAGTCCCAGGCCTGACTCATTTCCATCTGTGTGTGCAGTATTATTGCTGCCGGGTGAGTCTTTTGGAGTTAGAAAGTAAAGGCAAGACCAGGAACACCTCATCTGGGACCCAGCCTCTGCCTGGCTGCCTTCCCAGGTTCCGACTTACGCTTGTTGGCTTTCAACTTCTTTTCATCCACAGGAATGAGGTCTAAGTAATCCAGGTAATATTCATAGCTGGTGTACGGGACGGAGGCGTTGGTCCTGTTGGCCATGACTGTAGCTATGGAGGCCAGCGTCTGCCAGAGCCTCACATCCGGAGCTGGGCTGTGGGCCCCAGGGACGACATTGCTTAACTCATCTCTTTCAGAGTCACCCAGCTCATCTGCGGGTCTCCAGACAAGGGGCCTGCTTATCATAGCTTCGCTGGAAGGTCAGGGGGCTGTTCCCATGAACTGCCTCTGGAAAAATCTACAAAGCAGGAAAAGCCGGCTGTGAGAGTCACGGCTTCCCACTCAGCTCTAGCTTGCCTCTCCGTGGAAGGCCTGGGAAGTGGGCAAGAAATCAGATGCCAGAAGCAGGAAATGACTAGCGGAGGAGCCAGACAGAGCCGTCGTTTTTGCCTCTGATACATGAAAAGTTAACAAAACTGCAGGAAAGCCTGGCAGTGCCCTTGACACACACTGAGGCAGTTCTCGGTATTATTAAGCAACCAGCAGACCTCTGACTTGGATTCTGAAGGCAGGCCCTGTACTTGCAACCTCTTTCCTGTGCACAACCAGTAAACTAAAACGGAAAATCCCACTACCCGGCTGAATGCACCCCCAGCTTTCACTCAAGCCTCCAGGAGCCAGCTGGGTGGTGGCCAGCTGCATTTGTTCAGACCAAAGAGGCAGTGTATCTGGGTCAGCGTCCCACAGGACTGAGCTCTTGGGAAAGAAGGCACAAGGGTCTACACAGCTCTTAGCTGACACAGTGTAAGGAGGAATCCAGGCTTCTGTGGGGCCTGCCCTAAGTTAAGCACTCACTCGTTGCCAAGGTCTCTAGACACTACCCTGAAAGACTGTGAGGAATCCTGGAATGAGCAGCTGATGCGTGAGGCACCTTGGGATTTTGCCTTTGGGAGTATGCACCGGGTCTTTCATCTGTCCTACTTGTTTCTAAGTCTCCAGTGCTGGGTGTCAAGAGGTACAGCCTGAGCCCTGCCAGTTCTGACCCTGCTATGCCAAGGCAGGCATTCTGCTGGGAGCTCTTAGAGGTCGAGAAGCGGGGGAGGTTGTGCTTGGATTTCCAAAGCAAAGAGGCGATGATCCCCTGGAAGAACAGGGAACTGTGTTCCCTCTTCTGTTTTACCTCTCAGCAGGAGTGAAGGGTTTTCATGCCACACAAGCTCCCGTCGTCTGTGTTATAACTGTGTTATGGGCCCAGAGTCACCTGCCTCTCCCCACTTCAGCTGTAATCCTGAACCCCAGGTTGTCACCTCAGTTCTGACCCACTGGCTGGACATTGAAGGGTTTAACAAGCCCCTCCCCTGGTTCCCAGGACTCGGGCTCATCATAAAAGGATACAATTCAGGTCTAGTCAGACAGAAGCTATCGCTGTCAAAACAGGCCTGGTGTGCACACTGCAGAGTGTGACAATCACTGAAAGTGGTTTTTACAACACAGCATCTTTTTGTGAGGCAAAGATGGAGGACACAGAAGCCCCAAGTCTGCTGTGGGATGACCTTCTGTATGCTGTGAATAGGTATTACTCCCACTGGTTAATAAAAAGCTGACAGGCCTGTAGCTGGGCAGGAAGTTAGGCAGGAAAGCCAAACTGAGAATGATGGGAAGAAGGAGGGAGGAGTCAGGAGAGATGCCAGCCAGCCAGTCACCCAAGGAACAAGATGCCAGAGAGAACTAGTAAGCCACGGGACATGTGGCAATAAATAGGTAAGAAGAAATGGGCTAATTTAAATGTAAGAGCTAGTTAGTAATAAGCCTGAGTCATCAGCCAAACAATTACAAGCCTCTGAGTGATTATTTGGAAACAGCTGCAGGACGGGGCGGGACAGAGAAAAGCCTTCTGTTTACACAAGTCTCAATTCCGTTACCTGAGAATGGTGACAGGGACATTTATGGTGTAAAGAAGAGGGCTGGTCTGAGAATGGGGAAAAGGTGATGGGAGGTAAGGAGTGATGTAGTGATAAAGTGAAGGAGTGATGGAGTGATGGAGTGATGGGGTGATGGGGTGATGGAGTGGAGTGATGGGGTGATGACTGAAGGAGTGATGGAGTGAAGGAGTGATGGAGTGAAGGAGTGATGGGGTGATGGAGTGATGGAGTGATAAAGTGAAGGAGTGATGGAGTGAAGGAGTGATGGAGTGAAGGAGTGATGGAGTGAAGGAGTGATGGAGTGAAGGAGTGATGGAGTGAAGGGGTGATGGGGTGATGGGGTGATGGGGTGATGGAGTAATGGGGTGATGGGGTGATGGAGTGATGGGGTGATGGAGTGAAGGGGTGATGGAGTGATGGAGTGAAGGGGTGATGGGGTGATGGGGTGATGGAGTGAAGGGGTGATGGGGTGAAGGGGTGATGGGGTGATGGGTGGCCTGTGCATGTGTGGTCCAGTTCAGGATTCTTCAGAGGTCACATGTTCAGAACACAGTGACATTAGTAAGCTCTAAGGGTGGACTGTTCAGCTCTCTGACGTCAAAACATCCCCCTCTGTGCAGGAACAAGTCAAGGGGCAGTGTGCCAGCTCACTGAAGGCAGACGAGAACGAGGGGTAGTGTGCCAGCTCACTGAAGACAGACGAGAACGTCCTCCAAATTCTGAACAACCTGGGCAACTATTAGCACGTGTCAGAGGAGTTACCTAGAGCGAAGCCGTGGGAGGTACTGCTTAGCTGCGTGCCCTCTAAAGCTGGTGCTAGAAGCATGTGAGTAAAAGCAAGGGAGGCTAAGGGGTTTATTTGGCATTTCCCTTGGTTTTGAGGTCTAGGGTTAAAGAGGTAGGAAGCTTCCTGGCCTTCTCCATGTATACCCCCAGCATTTCCCGCACCCCAACCTCATTGTACAGGGTCTCGAGGTTATAGAGCACAGAGGTGAAGCATGAAATCCCTAGATCCAAGTGGCTGATCTCAACCTCAAGGTGAGATGTAGCCTTCCCTCCCTAGAGGTTAAAGTGTGGGCTGAGTTCCAGTTCTTGTTAGCTTGTGATTGGATCCTCTGACAATCCGAGTCTCCACAAATCACCTCATTAGCATAAAGCCCTCATTAGCATAAAAACCCTCATTAGCATAAAAGCCCAGGTACAGATCAAGGAAGCTGGTGTGTCGCTCCTCTCACCCAGTCACCCAGAAATTCCAATAAAACCCATAGATGTGATCGATCACAAAACGCAGCCTGTACACACCCTTTGAGCTCTAGCTTCTTTTGTCAACATGTTGCATGAAGCAATCACTCCCTTTTGTTCCTCGGTAGTGTTAGAGAGATACCGAGTAATTCATTTTCCCACAGTGATGAGCCCTTGGATATGAGCGGTCCTTGTGACTTGCTTTGGCTTTGAGTAATTGATACAGCAACTGAGACGTTGTATTGACCTGGGATGTGACTGCACAGCAGACCATAATGCAGAGCATCTACAAGGCCCCGGGTCCATTCAGTTCCCAGCACTACAAAAACAAAACACAAAGATGTGCAAGTTCCAGGCCAAAGTCTTAAGTCGAAAGTTCTCAACCTGTGGGTCAGGACCCCCCTGAGAGCCACATATCAGATATCCTGCATATCAGATATTTACATTATGATTCATAACTAGCAAAATTATAGTTCTGAAGCAGCAACAAAATAATTTATGGTTGGGGGTCAGCACAGCATGGGGAATGCATTAAAGGATCACAGCATTCAGAAGGTTGAGAACCACTGTCTTAAGAGGTCTGGCACACTCCCACTCTTCTGCAGCACTAGCAGTAGGGACAAGTTTCACAGTTAAGAGCCAGGCAAACCCCAGCAGCCAGAATGGTTGTTCTTTGTGTGTGGTAATATGCCTTCTCCCTCTCTCTCCCCTCTCTCCCTGTCTCTTTTCTCCCCCGTCCTTCCCCGTGTGTGTGTGTGTGTGTGTGTGTGTGTGTGTGTGTGTGTGTGATAATGTGCCTTCTCCCTCTCTCTCCCTTCTCCCCCCACCCCGGCCCGTCTCTTCTCTCCCCCGTCCTTCCCCGTGTGTGTGTGTGTGTGTGTGTGTGTTTGTGTGTGTGTGTGTGTGTGTGATAATGTGCCTTCTCCCTCTCTCTCCCTTCTCCCCCCACCCCGGCCCGTCTCTTCTCTCCCCCGTCCTTCCCCGTGTGTGTGTGTGTGTGTGTGTGTGTGTGTGTGTGTGTGTGTGTGTGTGTGTACTGGCCAGAGAACAATGAAGAATCAGTCCTCAAGAGCCATCCACCTTGTTTCCCACTGACCCGGAGCTCACCAGGTAGGCCAGGCAGTCTGGTCAGTGAAACCCAGGGGTGCCTGCATCTGCCTCCCCCAGTGCCAAGACTGCAAGCATGCACCGTGCATCACACCTGGTCACTCTCTGACATGGGCCCTGGGGATTGAACTCAGGTCCTTATGTTTGCAAGGCAGGCAGCAATTTACCAGCGGGGCCATCTCCCCAGCCCAAATGGCTATTTCAAGTCACTAATCTTGGGGTGCTTTCTTACACAGCATGAGGTAATTGATGAGATATCCATGCTCCTGTTCTTTTACATCTACATGTTTCAGTTCCTTTACTTTGACCTATTCCAGTAAGTTTCTGCTGAATTTTTAATTCATTCCTATATTTGTCTCAACATCTCTGGGTGCTTTGCAAAAAATTTAAGACAAAGATCATGATTTACTTATTGTCAGAATTTATTGATAATATCAATCAGATTAAACATGTTTCATAAATTTTTTTGTTTTGTTTTGCTTTTGGTTTTTGGTTGTTTTTTGTTTTTTTTTTTGGTTTTTCGAGACAGGGTTTCTCTGTGTAGCTTTGTGCCTTTCCTGAAACTCACTCTGTAGACCAGGCTGGCCTTGAACTCACAGAGATCTACCTGGCTCTGCCTCCCGAGTGCTGGGATTAAAGGTGTGTGCCACCACCGCCTGGCTCATAAAATTTTTAAGAAGCTGCAAAAATGCGGTAACTGTCAACCATTCTAAATTGTTTACATATAAAAGTATTAAACTAAAACCCCAGTCAGGCGGTCTGTTTTTTGTTGTTGTTATAATTGTGGAGTAGCACATATCCTACTAATAGATCTTTAGGTAATAACTGCAAAATATGGAAAAGATATAATAAGACAACTATTCAGAGGCACCAGAGAGGGACAGAAAGCCACAGCAACAAGATAGATAACAACACCGAGATAAGGGAACAGCAGGGGTGAGGTTTGTATTTATAGATGTCTTTCCTGGGTGCATCCCCCAGCCATCACAACATAAGCCAGTGTGAATTCAAGCAGAAAACAAAAATTTAATTGGGTTTGGGAGTCAGGGGGCAGAGCTTGGCATAGGAGAGTATTTAAATGGGCATAGGGTAGAGGAATCATAGAGGGTAAAAGGGCATAGTTACCACCCTGTAGACATAAGTTTCTCTGGTCCCGCCTGGCCCCAAGGTCCAGACAAATCTCTCCCACCATGGTCCCACAGCCACTTATAAAAAATTATTCAGAGGCTTATATTAATTACAAACTGTATGGTCTATGGCTTCAGCTTCTTGCTAGCTAGCTCTTTCATCTTAAGTTAACCCATTCCTGTTAATCTATTTGTTGCCACGTGGCTGTGGCGTTACCGATCTGCTGGCATCTTGTTGCTCCTTGGGCACCGGGCTTGTGTCTCCCCTGATGCCACCCTTCTTTGTCTCATCTTCAGTTTGAATGCCCCGCCTAACCTTATGCTGCCTCGCCATTGGCCAAATAGCTTTATTTATCAACCAATCAGAGCAACACATATTCATAGTGTACAGAAAGACATCCCACAGAACCAGACCCCCCCCCCCCCCCCCGCCCCAACCTGTTTATGTTGTTCAAGGTGTGTGTTAGCTCAGTGGTAGAGACAGAACTTGCCTATCAATACTCCAGGCTCTAGGTTCAGTCCCTCATTCCACAGTTAAAAAAATAAATAACCTTGGTCAAATCCTTGAGTGAGGAAAAGAATCAAAATGAAATAGGTCACAATAGGCAAAACCCCACAGTTCAGAGGACGCAGCAGACTCTAGTCTCCATGTGTCACCTACTATGGCAGTGGCCTAGTTTACTTTCTGTTGCTGTGACAACCACCCTGACTAGAGCAACTTGGGGGAGCAAGGGCTTCTCCAGTTTATAACTCCAGGTTTCGCTCTGTCATGGAGCGGGAGTCAAGGCAGCAGCAGGGTCACAAAGCATCCTGTGACATCACACCTGAGAGCAGAGAGCAGCAAACGTATACACGCTGCTGGCTTGGTTTTGCTCAGCGGGCTTCCTTCACTCTTACATGGTCCAGGGCCCAGCCCCTGCTGTGGTGTTGCCTACATTCAGAGTGGGTCTTCTATCCCCACTTCAGGTAAGGCAACCAAAACAGTGCTCCACAGACATGCCCAGAGCCTGATCTAAGGAACCCCGAGGCGACTCTAGGTTGTGGAAAGCTAAAATTTAAAGCTAGCCATCACATACAACGGAAAGATCACTCTGCCTCAAAGATCACTCTGCCTCCAAAAAGACTCAGAAAAAGCAAGGCATTCCATCTAGAGAAAATGAAGGCAAATGAAGCCAATTCTGAGACGACCCAGATACTGGAATTAGCAGACAAGGCCCTTAAATTTAATTATTAAAATAATTAAAATGAATATGTAACATAAAAATTTAAGAATGTGAAAATGTATAAAAATGAAAAGTATAAAAATCTGTAGTGGTAGTATTAGAGGGCATACTGCTGTGGAACCATCTTTTTGTACACTGTAAATACATATTACTCTCACTGGTTAATAAAGAGCTGACTGGCCAATCGCTAGGCAGCAAAAGTTTAGGCAGGACTTATGGACAAAAAGAAACTGTGAGGAAGAAGAAAGGCAGAGTCACAGTCGCTAGGAGACGCGGAGAGAAGCAAGGTGAATATGCCATGCTGAAAACTGCCCTACCACATGGTGGAATGCAGATAAGGCTTATGGGTTAATTTACGATGTAAGTGCTAGTTAGTAACAAGCCCAAGCTATCGGCCAAGCATTTATAATTAATAATAAGTCTCTGTGTGGTTATTTGGGGAGCCAGCTGGTAGGACAAAGCTGACTGGTGGTCCCCACAAAAAAGTCCGCCCACAGCATACCATAGAAAAAGTAGCTACAGGTGAGCCCATACTGATAACTGATTGACGAAATAAACAAGTTATCCAAAGGCTAGCTCATCCTAACATAATTATAGGATGGGAAGAAACACAGCACAACTATCAGAGGGCAAGACTCTGGCAGGCATGTAAAGATGGATGTCAAATTAGTAGGTGAAAGTGTGAGGAGAAACAATATTTGCCTAATTTAACAAGAATCTCCAGATTGTTCATTACTAATTTGAATAACAATATAAAACAATACTGTTTACACAGAGAAAAACAATCACAAGAAACCTCCAGGTGCTACATTTCAAATCACTGACAAGCAGTGATGACTGTGTTTGTCCCTTACCGTGTGCATGAGGGACTCATGACCTCTGTGGTGCTCTTGTTAAACACATGACCCCAGTAACTCTGACTAAGACATTAGGGAAAAAGCTAAATCAAGGGTATAGCTGGAGTTTTCTGCCTGGCCCACAGTCAGGACAAATCTCTCTCACCTGCCAGTCCCACAGCCGTCAGACCCAACCAAGTAAACACAGAGACTTATATTGGTTGCAAACTGTATGGCCGTGGCAGGCTTCTTGCTAACTGTTCTTACAGCTTAAATTAATCCATTTCCATTAATCTATACCTTGCCACATGGCTCGTGGCTTACCAGCATCTTCACATGCTGTTGTTTCTCATCATGGCGGTTGGCAGTGTCTCTCTGACTCAGCCTTCCACTTCCCAGCTTTATTCTCCTCCTTGTCCCGCCTACACTTCCTGCCTAGCCAATGGCCAATCAGTGTTTTATTGACTAATTAGCAACACACTTGACAAAAAGACCATCCCACAGCACAAGGGTGTCCAACAAAATGACTTCCTGGTCCCCTTCCGAAGAGGTCAAGTTGGGACGGAGAGGGGAAGCCAAGGAAGTGCCAGAGACTGGTGTGGAAAACAGAGATAGATACCTTACTGCTCATGGCAGTGTATGCAGTGAATACAGGTCAGGTGGAGTGTGGGGGAGGATTTCACATCTTTGTGCAGGTATTTTAAACTGAGGAATTATATATATTTACCTTTCCACCCTCTTGCTCTCCTTCCTTCCTTTCCAATTGAGCATAATTTAATTAGACTAGTTTGAAATTTTTACTTCTGTCTAATGGATTACTAACTATTATGGTGAACTTACTGGTGTGACAATAATCTAGATTTTAAAAAGAACCAGGGGGAATAACAAATTAAACATTTCCTCCCACCTTTTGGCATAGAGAAAACTAATATTCCCACAAAGGCTGACGCTCTGAGATAACACTGACATACTTATATTAACAAATGCCTCCACGACCTTGACCATTAGCATTGTTTCTTTCCGGTTAAAATTGTAACCAAGATATGGATGGTGACGCTGTTCTTCTCTAGGTGTTTCTGTGGGGGAAGGGGAGGGGTGTGCTTAATATTTAACAGTCCAGGCTCTCATAAATCTCTGCCAGTCATCTGAACAGTTACTCATGAATCCCATAGATCTCAGCCTTTTCATGGTTAGAATGAGATGCATCAATTAAGCATGTGGGTTTCTCAGCTCCACTGTATTATGGTTTTGCTGAGAACCACATGCTCTCTTACTTGTTTTTAACTTTCACAAGAACCAAGGATCGGTTGAGGGCTGGGAAGTTGTGATTCTACTCAACACATAGAAGAGCGAAGAAATACTATTTAAAGAACGTCCTGCCTCTGAGGACTTTTAAGAAGGTGAGACATATTCCTGAGTTCTGTGTGGAACACAGATATAAATATCACCACCTCCCTGCTCCCGGCTTAACCTATAGTGGGTTGTATCCCCTAAAAAGGGCTCTTAGGGTGAAAGAAGGTCCTTGGGGGCTGGAGGGTATAGTGTGCCATTCTCCTGGTGCCAGCTGGTCAGGGAAGGCAGCCTTTGTTACCATTTGGATCCCCCCGCCCAACACACACATACATCTAAATGGTCTTTGAATGCGACCGCAATCAAACCTGCCTACCAGAGAAGTCAGCCACCCGCCTCTGGGGACCTGCAATCACATCTTATTGTCATTCTGGTGTGCAAATGTTAGGAAGTGCATGCAATTAAAATCAGTCTGTGATTGTAATCAGCAGTTATTAATTTCTCATTTTCCTCAGCTGCCAGTGCACTTTTGAGAATCTCTAGTTCAGGGTGGAGAGATGACTCAGAGGTTAAAGGTGCTTGGCAGCAAGCCTGAGTTTAAACTCCAGGAAGAAAAGAACTGACTCCAAGTTGTCCTCTGCCTTCCAACATCTGCAGGTTCCCCTTAAATAAATGTAAATAAAAATCAATCCTCAATTCTTCCAGCAAAATGGCTAAGGCCTCATCCATTCATTTCTTCTTGAACTTTCTTCTATCTCCAAGCTCTCTTTCCCTTCCTCTCCCACCCTGCCAAGTTCAGCAAAGCAGGAGTTCGAGAGTGTTTGCAATGACTGCTATTTCCTGCCTCCACCAGGGGTATTGGAACTCTGAAGGAAAATTCCTGGAAAGAGGCAGAGACCACAAAGGCTAATTGAGGGATCAGAACATCAATGACTGCAGAGGTTGGAACGCTGTTAAGTTCAGCGCCCAATCATTTTGGATTATCTTTAGTCCCCTTCTATGGTCATTTACTGCCCTCCCCTGTATGAGGTAAAGACTTTGATATATACAATCAGATCCCTAGCTTCTAAACCCAAATGCTAAGAATATGGCCAGAGAGCATTGGCAGTCCACAGTAAAGGGTTCCTATTGCTTTGCTGTAACCCACCTTCCTGATACAACTCACATGTAGTTGAAAAGTTTGTTGGTTTATGGCATTCTTTGTTCTGTTCCCTTAAGTCTCAGGAAATGCATATATCCAGAAATGACAGTCTTGGCCCACCTTAAGCCGGACTGGACCGCAGAAGGATTTCTGGAAGTTAAATAAAAGTCAGCATTCTTCAGGAACGTATGAAACAGGTTCCAAAAGGAGTCATTCCCCTGCCTCTCTGGCAGAAGGGACATATAGCTCTCCATTGACATATGCCCATGGTTGCATAACAAAGCCCATGCTGGCCTCCAGGTTCCCACAGACCCTGTTCACAAGTACCTGTCATACACTTCAAACCCCCAACTTGAGCATTCTGGCCCTTCTCACCTCCTCTACCCCAAATTCCTAGGCCTGTTCTAGCTCACAGGCTTCCCTTCTCCTGTTCCTTCTCTATATAATGGCAAGGCTCCGTTCCCACCCCCATCCCCCAATCTCACCATGTCTACTATTCTCTCCTGCTATTCCTCCCCCTTGTAGATAGCCCTGGCCATGTCCAGCAGTCTGCTGCTTTCTCTCTCTGCTCCGAACTCTTCCAGATGCCTCGATAGCTCCTTTTTCTTACCTACAATAAAAACCTTTCCCTTTACTCGTCAAATGGGCCATTTTGATGATTTCTTTACTGTGACCCCTCACACACAATTAAAACCTCACATAACTGATGTCACATTGGAAAATGGGATCTGTATTCTTGGGCCATGGCCACTCATATTTGGCTCCATAATAAACCCTCTCTTAAGTCACTTTGAGGTGAGAGCTGTATTTTCTTGCAACAAGATGTATTCGCTGAGAATGAAGGATCATTGTACTGGGATATCCTATTATATAGCATTTTAAGTGCTGATCATAGGATCCCAATGTCTGAGGCTAACAATTGCCCATTGAATTCCAAAGATACTACCCAACTTCCACAACTCATGTGGGTTGTGTTACTCACATAACACAGAAAGGGTAGGCCAGGCGCACTCTACAAAAGCAGTAGGAAAAGAGACAATTCGCTGGGTGGAAAAGCCCTGAACTATTTGAAGCACTTACTTTTACTTGGAAGTTAATTAACTCAGGCATGGTATCCTCACACATACTCCAATGCTTGGTCCTTGAGGGGCCACAGCAACGCCATGGCTAGACTTCTCCTGGCCCCAGCCTCCACTAGGCCTGAGTTTTGTTTTGTTTTTTTGGTGTTTTTGAGACAGAGTTTCTCCGTGTAGTTTTGGTGCCTTTCCTGGATCTCGCTCTGTAGACCAGGCTGGCCTCGAACTCACAGAGATCCGTCTGGCTCTGCCTGCGCCACCACCGCCCTGCTCTGCTAACCCAGCACGGGCGTCTCCACTCATTTGAGACCCTCAACTTCCTCCATGGTGGCGGAGGGTGCAGGCAGGTTTCCCGCCAACACTTCCAGCTCAGCTTCCTAGCCGAGGGAGGCGTGAGGGCGCAGCGGGCGCAGCGGGCGCAGCGGGCGCGCCAGCCGGGCGACGAGCACGCGCATTAGGTGCGGTCGGGCCCTCAGGCCCCGCCCCTCGAGCGGTGCCCCGCCTCTCGGTCCTCGCGCATGCCCAGCTGTGCTTTTCCCGTGGGGCTCTGGGGCGCGCGGCAGATTTGTCGCTCATGGCGGCTGCGTGCTCCCTAGGCTGCTCCTCTGCTTCTTGTGCATGTAACCGCCAGGGCAAGTGGAGCGACCCCTCGCTGCTGGAGAAGCGGCTCTCGGAAGACTCGCGCCGCCACCGGCTGCTTCAGCAGTGGACGAGCATGTCGAGCGCGGACGCGGCGGAGGCGGAGGCGGAGCCCGAGCCGTGCGGGGAGAAGGCGGCGGCGGCGGCGGCGGCGGCGGCGGCCGGGGAGAACCCGCTCGTGTTCCTGTGCTCGCGCTGTCGCCGGCCGCTGGGCGACTCGCTCACCTGGGTGACCAGCCAGGAGGACAGCAACTGCATCCTCTTGCGCTGTCAGTTCGGGCCCGGGGGCATGAGGGGTTTCTGGGTTCCCGGGGGTTGGGGGTGAGCAAAGGGGAGGAAGGGCCTTCCTGTCAGTGGGCTCGGCCATCCCCAGTCCCCAGGAGGGTTGAGCATCTTTGAGCATCGTCATGAACGTTATCCAGAAACAAGTGACCAGGCGTCTTAGCTAGGTGCTTCCTTCAGGGACGTGTCAAGGTTTTTCAGATCTGGTGGGCTCTGTTAGCCGATGGCCCTTACAGTTCCAAGTGTTAAGACCATCCAGCTTCTTTGAGGGGACTTGTGGGCATGTCCAACAGCTTGTGCCAAAGTGAGGGCTAATACATGCGATAACGGGGACGATTAAGTGAGTTCATGAATGCTGTGTGGCCAATGAGTCGGCGCTTTCTTTGCTGGGTGATCCACCCAGCATTGCCACCATTAATTTGGACAGCCTAAAATTGGGATGGGATTTGTTTGTTTGTTTGGTTTTTCGAGACAGGTTTTCTCTGTGTAGTTTTGGTGCCTGTCCTGGATCTCGCTTTGTAGACCAGGCTGGCCTCAAACTCACAGAGATCTGCCTGGCTCTGCCTCCCAAGTGCTAGGATTAAAGTTGTGTGCCACCACCACCTGGCAGCTTTAATATATTTATAAACTCATCTCTCAACCCCAGTAGTTTTATTAACATATAAAAAAAATAGGGGCTGGAGAGAGGACTCGAGGGTCAAGAGCATTTCCAAAGGACCAGGGTTCAGTTCTCAGCACTGACGGGCTGTTTCCAACCATTGGTAACTCCGATTCCAGGGGATCTGACGTCACCACACATGCACTTGCCGCACATACTCACATGCAGGCAAAACACTCAAAAATAAATGAATAAAAATTTAAAAAATTTGTGACTTCCCCACCGCTTGTATAATTATCACCATTGTCTTTCCAGTCCCCACGGAAATGTCAAGTTTGGGTGCTGGAAAGTTTCTTTTTGTTATCTTTATATGTAGATACTAAATTGGGTCCTGCTCCCCCACCCCCCTTCCCCCAGGAAGGGACCCAGGCTTGTGTTGCCTAAGTGTAGACAAGCTTTAGAAAGGGACCAGGAAATGGAGGGACTTGGAGAATCTATCCGACGAGTGACCACGGGGCAGAGGAGTGATGGTCGACTCTCGTGGAACAAGCAAGGAGGGAAGGCTAACACTGCTGTAGCTGTGCGGCAGCAGTTGTCCAGGCAAGAGGTGGTGCTGAGGTTTCAGGACCTGAGGAAGGTTTGTGAGGCAGGGCTTGCTTGGCATGATACCCAGAGTTGTAAAAACCAAAGTAAACTCATGGAATACGTCCCGGCTTCTAATCGGAGCCACTGAATATGTGGGCACGGGGTATACTAAGGCGGCTGTGGAAGAGGGTGAACTGGAGAGACTGCTTCTCCATTTTCCTCTGGGAATGTTTTGTACTGCTTCTCTGGTCCAACTGTGACGTGTCCAAGCCCAAGATGTCTGTCTGGGGACCTGCTCCGTTACTTTTAGAGGAGCTCTGTGTTGGATCTGGAAGTGCAGGGATGACCATCTTCCTTGGTCTTGACCCCGATTTCTCTCTACCTGGTAGTTTGTTCTTTGTAGCTTGCGATTCTCACAGTCCAAGCTCTGTCGTTGATGTTCCTGGGTAATGTTGTTCGCTTTATTAATACTGTTAGTTTTCAGAGAAGGATGTGAAGTGACTCTTACTCCACCTTCTTTTCCCAGAAGGCCCCTGCACCTTTAGTTTTGAACCATGTATATGGGCTCTGTCTTTGGGCTCCTCTTTTTCCCTATCCCTCTGAGTTCTAAAATAAAAGTTAAAGTTGAGTTAAAAGTTGTCTGTGTTCAGGTGTATTATAACAAACCACACTAATGAAGTGTTGCTGTTCTCTTCCCAGGTGTTTCCTCCAATGTGTCTGTGGATAAAGAACAGAAACTGTCCAAGTGCGAAGGCGAAGACGGCTGGTAAGTGAGGTGTTGATGTGAATATTGCATCATAGAAAATGTTTAATTTTAAGGAAAAGTCTTCCACCATTCTGTGAGATTGCTTGAGATGTAACTTTTCATGGTAACTGAACATATATAAAAGAAGTAAAAACCCATTATTCAGTGGTGAGAGTCCCTTTAGATAGGAAAGTGGAAGTTTCTAAGTTTCTGAAGGGGTCGCTGACACCGACTTTAGGGCTTTGGGTTTGGTGCAGAAGAAGATGGGAGGTAAATGTAGAACATATCTATCTTAAAATCTCCAAGTCTGAGGTGCCCTGTCCCAGTGCTGCTGCCTCTTCCATGTCCCGACACAGACAGGAAGTGCTAATTCAGAATCCACACCCACAGCCGACTGGGTACACAGACAGGCCGTTTGTGGCCCTAAACAAGCAGTCCCAACCACAGCACAGCGGTCCTAGTTTTGTTCCGTGTGGCCACTGCTGGGGCTGAAGGACAGCCATCTTATCACGGCTGTCATCTTGTGGCTGCAAGTGCTGTCCTCAGCAAATGAACGGAAGCCCCGCCTTTTGTAGTTGGTACCCCAAATCGGAACTGTGTCTTGCTGAGGAGTAGAGATGAACTTTAGGTAGTGCCCAGAGAAGCAAAGGTGGTACTGACATTAGAGCTTTAATAATGCTGGAATATCCTGTTCAAATAGAGTCGAGTGCAGCGGTACAGAAACTCAAGGGAAATTACATGGATATTGGTAAAGATAATGTGTAGGCGGGTCAGATTATGTTGCTGGCAGGTGGATGGTTACAATTTAGAAATCTCACCTTTGTTTCTTAGATTTATTTATTATTTTGCGTGTATGAGTCTTTGCACATATGTATGTATGTTCATCATGCGTGTGCCTGATGCCCACAGAGGTCAAAAGAGGGCGCTGGATCCCCTGGAATTAGGAATAGTAGACAGGTGTGAGCTGCTGTGTAGGTGCCAGGAATGAACCTGGCTCTCTGCAAGAGCAGCCAGTGCTCTTAACTCTAGCTATCTCCTGGAAATCTCAACTTTAGATCACGTCTCATGTTGTGGCTGAAGGAAACAAGCCCAGGAGTTCACCCCTCACTAGGCTGTGGCACTGACTGCAGTCCATCCAGGGTGTTGGTGTTGGCCTCGCTGCTCTGCAGTGTTCTTTTCTCTCTGCTTCCAACTCGAGTCTTCTGATGTAACCTCCTCCATTATGTCGTGGCTGTGTCCCAGGTCCACTGTCTGTGCTTAGTGTGTTTTCCTGAAATCAGCTTGAAGGTAGCTCGAGCTCCACTGCAGTGGAGCAAACAGTAGATCACGCAGTTGTTGCTTGTCTTGCTAAGCCTGTGGTCTGTTCTCAGGGTGCTGAACAGTGTACAGCCGTGTTGACAGCAGTGTGACATGGAGCTGACTGTTGTTTAGCAACCAGAACTGGTTGAGAGTTGAGAAGGGAACCGTCTTTCTCACTCAGTGAGCTGAAGGGACTCGTCTACTTGTGTCTCCTGAACCCGTCATCTGTATTGCCTTCAGTTGTCCTGGGTCTCACCAGGCCTTGTGAAATACTGGATTGCTTTAGGGTGTCCTTTCTACTGAGTGTCCAGCTGAGCCATTCAAGGGGTCAGCAGGAGCCCAGGGGTGGGCTCCAGAAGTACGGCTCCCCTGCTTTTCTGATCCATCCCTCGTTGAGGATCTTAGGATTGAGCAGGTTCCTTGATTAAAGTCATTTGTGGTTTCTGGTGGTCCTTCTCAGTCTTGTTCAATGATAGTCTGATGGTGGCCACACACTCCTGCTGTTCCCCAAGATGATTCTAATTCTGGATCGGTTGGATTGTGATGAAGTACCTGACCATGCTACGGTATGCAGGAAGGAGGTTTGCTGTGACTACAGTTCTGGGGGTACATTGTCTAAGGGCCACGTTCAGTGGTAGCCTTCTTGATGACAGTCCCAGGTGGTGCAGAGTATACTGTGGCAAGATGGAACCTTGTGTGGGTATGTGTCTCTTCTGGTCTCTCCCTCTTATAAAGCCATTGGGGCTCTACCATGATGACTTGTCCAGTCTTACTCACCTTCAAGAGACCCCAGTTCTGAGGGCCGTGTACTGTCTCACTGGAGTTTCTTTATGAGCTTGGGAAGACAGACCACATTCAAATGGTGCCGAGATGTGAGAGGGCTCATGTGAGCTCTTGCAGGTATTGTGACTGATTTTGAAAATTCAGATTATCCATTTATTATCAGTATATCCTAGGAGTTAAAATCTCAGGTTTTTCTAAATCTTTTTTCTTGATTACAATATTGACAATGTGTTGTAGCCTCCTAATTATTATGAAGCTTGATATATATATATATATAAAATCATGTAGATTTGCCTGTTCACTGTTGGTAGTGTAGGTGAGGTTTTCTACTTGGGGTCTACTAAGATGTTTTTATTTGCTTGTTTTTTTTCCTTTAAAGATTTATTATTTTATGAGTGTACATGTGCTGTGGGATGTTCTGTATGGCAAATGTGTTGCTAATTAGTCAATAAATAAAACACTGATTGGCCATTGGCTAGGCAGGAAGTGTAGGCGGGACAAGGAGAATAAAGCTGGGAAGTGGAAGGCTGAGTCAGAGAGACACTGCCAGCCGCCATGATGAGAAACAGCATGTGAAGATGCCGGTAAGCCACGAGCCACGTGGCAAGGTATAGATTAATGGAAATGGATTAATTTAAGCTGTAAGAACAGTTAGCAAGAAGCCTGCCACGGCCATACAGTTTGTAACCAATATAAGTCTCTGTGTTTACTTGGTCGGGTCTGAGCTGCTGTGGGACTGGCGGGTGAGAGAGATTTGTCCTGACTGTGGGCCAGGCAGGAAAACTCTAGCTACATACATGTTTTGCCCACGTGTATCTATGTGCACCACAAGTGTGCCTGGTGCCCACAAAAGTCAGAAGAGGGCATCAGATCCCCTGGAACTGGAGTTATGGATGATCATGAGCTGCCATGTGAGTGCTGGGAACTAAACCTGATTCTCTGGAAGAGCAGCAAGTGCCCTTAACCATTGTGCCATCTCTCCTGCCCCTAAGCTGTTTTTATAGTTCTTAAAAAAAAATTATTATTTTTAAAGTGTGTGTATATGTATATGTGTGTGGGTTTGTGAATGTGGGTGCAGTGTTAGCAGAGGCCACAGAAGGGTATTGGATCCTGTACTGGCTCTTTATGTCAACTTGACACAAGCTAAAGTCATCTGAGAGGAGGGACTCTCAGTTAAGAAAATGCCTCCCCCAGGTGGTGGCACACACCTTTAATCCCGGTACTTGGGAGGCAGAGGCAGGCGGATCTCTGTGAGTTCGAGGCCATCCTGGTCTACATAGTCAGTTCCAGGACAGTTAAAGCTACACAGAGAAACCCTGTCTCGATGACCTCTGATTCAGTTTCTTCCTCCAGGTTCCTGTCCTGTTTGAGTTCCTACCCTGACTTCCTTCAGTGATGGTCTATGGATATGGAGGCATAAACTGTATACACCCTTTCCTCCCCAAGTTGCTTTGGTCATGGGTACAGCAGTAGAAGCCCTAACTAGGGCAGATCCCCTTGAAATTGGAGTTGTAGGTAGTATGGACTGTTATGTAGGTTCTGAGAACCTAACTCAGGTCTTTTGTAAGAGTACTTGCTCTTAACCACTGACCCATCTCCCCAACCCCAATATTTTTTTTTAATCTCTTACAAAAAATCTTTTTTTAAACGCCATAGAGACTTAATATAGAATAAGTAGCAGATTTCCTAGCCAATTATATCACTGATGAAATCTTAACAGGTGGTGATCTTTGTTCCATATATTGCTGCCATAATTAAAAAGCATCTCTGAGTGTCTGGGTGAACAGTGATGTAGTGGGAAGTTTATCAGGTCCAGCCCGGCCCCAAGGTCCAGACAAATCTCTCCTACCCACGGTCCCATAGCCGATTATAAAATAATCACTCAGAGGCTTATATTAATTAAAAACTGGATGGTCTATGGCTCAAGCTTCTTCTTCTTCTTTTTTTTTTCTCTTTGTTTTTCAAGACAGGGTTTCTCTGTGTAGTTTTGGAGCCTGTCCTGGATCTTGCTCTGTAGACCAGGCTGGCCTCAAACTCACAGAGATCCGCCTGCCTCTGCCTCCCAAGTACTGGGATTAAAGGTGTGCGCCACCACCTGGCCTGGGCTGGGCTTGTGTTGTGTGGCTGTGTTTAGGGGAGCAGATTATTCAGTTCTGTATGTCTGACTGCTCTGTGCCACAGTACAGAGTTGATGCTCACACCAGACCCCTGGTGGCCGGAAAGCTTGAAATACTTAATTTCATTACAGGGAAATTGCCTACCTTCCTAACAAGAGTGTTATGAATGTGCAGAGTCTTTTTGTTGCTTTCCCAGATTTTAAAGTTTGTCTTCATACCAGATCAAGGACTATATATTCTGGAAAACCCTGCCTTGGCATTTTGTTTATGTTCCTTGTCATTTGTTGTCCAAAGTAGTGTGGCCTAGAGCTGACAGCACTTCTGCACTCAGCTTGTGTGTGTGTGTGTGTGTGTGTGTGTGTGTGTGTGTGTGACTTAGTACAGTCGGAATGAGGCTGGTTGTAGTGAAGCATGCTTGTCACCCCAGCTCTTGCCACGGGAAGATGGGCAGAATGACGACTGCTAAGAGTTTGAAGTGGGGGTGTGCTACATAGTGAGACCCTGTGCCCCCCGAAACAAAACAAACACAAAACAAAAACAATAACACGAAGTGGTCAGAATAGCCCCTTTTCACCTGAGGCAACTCAGGGCCTGTGGAGTTTAATTTATTTTTATTTCTTTAAATTGTGTTGTGTGTGTGTGTCTGTCTGTCTGTCTGTCTCTGTGTGTGTGTCTGTGGAGGTCAGGGACAACTCTCCTTTCACCATAGGGGTCCTGGGAGCGAGCGAGTCAGGTTGTTATGCTGGCAGGAAGCACCTTTCCCTGCTGAGCCGTCTTGCCAGCCCTCAGCTTGTGGATTTTATCATACGCATTCATACATTCTCCCTCAGTAGTGTCATTTCTTTATTGCAGCATTCTTGAGACTCTGTATTGTACAGGCTGCTCCCTCCGCCTTGGCTATGTGTACAGATGCACTCCCAAGAACCTAGACTACAAGAGGGACTTGTTCTGCCTCAGCGTTGAAGCCATTGAAAGGTAGGTTTGATTGAAAGGTAGGTTTGATTGAAAGGCAGGTTTGATTGAAAGGCAGGTTTGATTGAAAGGTAGGTTTGATTGAAAGGTAGGTTTGATTGAAAGGTAGGTTTGATTGAAAGGCAGGTTTGATTGAAAGGCAGGTTTGATTGAAAGGCAGGTTTGATTGAAAGGTAGGTTTGATTGAAAGGTAGGTTTGATTGAAAGGTAGGTTTGATTGAAAGGCAGGTTTGATTGAAAGGCAGGTTTGACAGCTAAGTGGCTGCCTCGTGACTGATTTCTCACTGTTAGGTTTGCAGAAGTAGGTGTGAGAACAACTGTACTAAATCAACACTGGTGGGTTCAAATACATTTTAGAGTAAAAGTTCCTGACAGTAAAGCCAGCAAGTCACCCCCACCCCGATACACACTTTGTGTCTAATTTATTTAGTATTGGGAAAGTCAGACACTCAATTATAGGAGAAAATGGGAGACTTTTTTTGATTTGAGTTTTTTGTTTATTTATTTGCTTTTTATTTTATTTTATTTTATTTTGTTTTTGTTTTTCCTGAGACAAGGTTTCTCTGTGTAGCCTTGCCTTGGCTGCCCTGGCGCTCTGTAGACCAGGCTGACCCTGAACTCACAGAGCTCTGCTTGCCTCTGCCTCCCGCGTGCTGGGATTACAGCTGTGCACCACTACTAGTTTTAGTACGTACTCTTAGCTGACTTCAAAGTCATAATCCCCTACTTCTGCTTCCCAGATGCTGGGATCATGAGTGTGAGTATGCCTAGCAAGATGTTTTTAAGCAATTGTGTAGACCAGTATGTACTTTCCTATCCCCATTATTAACCTCTCAGGCAGTGGTTCTCAGTCTTCCTAATGCTGTGACTCTTCAATACAGTTCCTCATGTTGTGACCCCAACTATAAAATTACTTCGCTGTTACTTCATAACTGTAATTTTGCTACTGTTATGAATCATACTGTAAATATCTGATATGCAGGATATCTGATATGCAGCCCCTGTGAAAGGGTCACTTAACTCCCCAAAGGGGTTGGGACCCACAGGTTGAGAACTTGTACCTTAGATGATCAGGGTGTTTATAGCTCAGTGGGTAGAGCACAGTATGTACAAACCCTTGGTTCAGAGCCCAGCACGGTGGTGCACACCATCATCTCTGCACTTGGCAGGTGGAGGCAGGAGGATCATAGAGAGAGCAACATAGAGAGCTAGCCTTAAGATCCATAAGACTCTCAAAATGCCCTCGGACTCCCAAAAAGAATGTCATGAAGAATTGGCATTTCAAAATTGGTTAAGAAGGGAGTCCCTTTGATATTCTAGAAGACTAGAAATATAAATTTAGTTATTTACTATAATAAAGAATTATCTGGTTTTTTGTTTTTGTTTTCTGTATTTTTCAAAAATGCAAGGAAATATTTGTATTCTGCAAGATTTCTAAAAAGCATTAGGAAACAATGTGAATTAGGTGCTACAGGCCCCTAATTTCAGATAGTTTTTTAATAAAAAGTGTTTAGTAATGCTTTGAGAATTTCATGCAATGTATTGCTCATATTCACCCTCCTCACTTTTCCCAGCTCCGTCTTCCCACTTCTTCCCTCCAAAACTTCAGGCCTCTTTCATAACCTATCAAGTCCAGTTTGTGTGGCTTATACTCCGTGTGTGTGGCTGTCCACGGATCATGGTCCACCTACCAGGGCTTCACCCTTAGAGAAAACTGACTCCCTCCTTTTAGAAGCCATCAGCCATCCACAGCTTTGATCACTTGAAAAGCCATATGGAAAGCTATTTTATTATATATGTGTATATATCTGAGTTTCATTGGCATTACCCTACACTGGGATTATGCTCACCCTAGAAGCCCTGGGTTGCCAAATAAAAAACCCAGTGCTAGATATGGGAAACCTTACCCCTCAGAACAATGTCAGATGTCTCAGTGGCCTTCAGTTGACTGTCCTTTTAAAATAGGAAATACAAAATTAAATCAGTTGATATCAGTGCCTCTTAATTTGTCCTTGTAAAGATGTGACCCTAAGATCTTGTGTATCAGGAAAGAACAATTTAAGAAGAAAAGAAAATGACTATACTTTACTTACTTGATGTAGCTAGAGTTTTCCTGCCTGGCCCACCGTCAGGACAAATCTCTCTCACCCGCCAGTCCCACAACCACTCAGACCCAACCAAGTAAACACAGAGACTTATATTGCTTACAAAATGTATGGCTGTGGCAGACTTCTTGCTAACTGCTCTTACAGCTTAAATTAATCCATTTCTATAAATCTATACCTTGCCACATGGCTCGTGGCTTACTGGCATCTTCACATGCTGTTTGTCATCGTGGCAGCTGGCAGTGTCTCTCTCCGCCTTCCTGTTTTCTCTGTTCTCCTGTTAGTCCCACCTATACTTCCCGCCTAGCCACTGGCCAATCAGTGTTTTATTTATTGACCAATCAGAGCAATTTGACATACAGACCATCCCACAGCAACTTGAGGTACTTTTATCATGCTTGTTTAATTTCTTAGATTTTTCTCCTGTTTTAAAATTTTTTTTTTTTTTTTTTTTTTTTGGTTTTTCGAGACAGGGTTTCTCTGTGTAGCTTTGCGCCTTTCCTGGAACTCACTTGGTAGCCCAGGCTGGCCTCGAACTCACAGCGATCCGCCTGGCTCTGCCTCCCGAGTGCCTGTTTTAAAATTTTTTAAAACAGGCCAGGCAGTGGTGGCGCACACCTTTAATCCCAGCACTGGGGAGGCCAAAACTACACAGAGAAACCCTGTCTCGAAACACCCTCCCCCCCAAAAAAATTTTTAAGTAATTTTTATCCAGTTATTAATTGATAACTTTGTATTTGGCATGTTTTGAAACTAGACAAGTTTAAATCAAAATTTTATAATCCGTAAGCCAACTCACATGGAAGAATCACTAAGCAAGCAGTGTTCCATGTTACAGAGCATGTAGTATATGGTGGTTCATGATTTTAATGTCTGAGTAGAAGGCCGGGTCCTAAACCCGTGCCCCCTTAATCTGTGAGATGCTCACCAGGGTCAGTGACGATGAACTGAGGGTGTGCATGCATATAAAAGAGAGGGCCTTTCAGCCAAGTGTGGTGATGCACCATAACCTCAGCATTTCAGAGTCTGAGGTGGGGAGGGTAGTCGGGAGTTTAAAGCACCTTGGTTACCTGGCAAGCTCTCTCCTTAAAAATAATGATAAAGCCATGTGGTGGTGGCAAGTCAGGACTACATAACGAGACCCTGTCTCAAAAAACCTAAAACAAAACAAAAACAAAAATCAAACAAAAAGAGGGTTGTTCTAACCTTACTGGATTAAAATTTCTATCTTTCATTTTATCATTATTGTTTTGTTGTGTTTTTCTTTTTCGTTTTTGTTTTTGTTTTGTTTTTCAAGACAGGGTTTCTCTGTGTAGCTTTGGAGCCTGTCCTGGATCTCACTCTGTAGACCAGCCTGGCCTTGAACTCATAGAGATCCTCCTGCCTCTACCTCCCGAGTGCTGGAAGTAAAGGTGTGTGCCACCACACCCAGCTGACTTTCTTTTTAAGAAGGAATGGTTTATTTGGACTCAGACTTTGAGGGACCAGTCAGTTAGTGGGAAAGACAGTCACATTACGTCTCAGTCAGAAAACAGAGAGAGGAATCCCCAGTTCCCTTTACTCTTCTCAGATTTTTTAAGATTGGGCCAGGTGGTGGTGTCCCTGGCTAGCTTTGAACTCAGTGATCCTCCTGCCTCAGTCTTCCAAGTGCTAGGATCACCATAACGTTTCAAAGTGAAACTATATAAAAGAAAAGGGGTGGAATATTTTGTCCTAAAGGTCACAATATTGAAGTTATTTTTCTCCTTAAAAGTTAAATTTCGGGTCATGGTACCTTTAGGGGCAGGATTATCATGCTGAGGAGTCTGGGTTCACTGTAGACGTGTTTGCGCAGTGTGACATGTAGTTACAGTTCAGAAAATGACTTAAATGCCATCGGTCTTTTCAGTTCATTTCTTCTTTTTTTACAGGATGATTTTTTCTAGTTCTCTTCTTTTTTTCATTTTATGTAAGATAAAATGATCTTATTATTATTAATTTTACTTCATGAGCATTACTGTTTTGCCTGCATATATATCCTTGTGAGGGTGTCAGGTCCCCGAAACTAAGGCTACAGACAGCCGTGAGCCGCCATGTGGGAGCTGGGAATTGAACCCAGATCCTCTGGGAGAACAGCCGGTGCTCTTACCTGCTGCCGTCTCAGCAGCTCCAGAAGCCTTGTTATTTGACAGATGATGTGAAGTTGCTACATGGATAAAAGACTTAAAGAAGGGAAGGAATTGCGTGTCCTTCCTCACGTTGAGTTCTGTGGGGGCTGGCACCAGACTTCCTTTTCTCATGGCCCAGGCTGCTGCTGCTGCTGCTTTTTTAAAAATACATTTTTAATAATAACACTCCACAACCTAGAGAGCTGTGGAGAACACAAGCTGGAGGACAATGTTGAGGCAGTCTAAATCTTATTTTTTCAGACTTAGTTATTTTTATTGTGTGTTTATGGGTGTTTTGCCTAAACGTATGTATGTGTGCCACATGTAAGCCTGGTTCCCTGGAGGCCAGAAGAGGTCATCGGATCCTCTAGAACTGGAGTCATCGAGGGTTGTGAGCTGCCATAGGGGTCCTAGGAACTGAACTCAGCTCCTACAGGAGCAGCAAGTGCTCTTAACTACCTACAACTATCTCTCCAACCCTGAGGTTGATAATCAGAGTTGATTCCACAACTGGCTACTTCTTAGAAGCCGAACTTGAAAACGCCCATGTTTCTGGAAAGTCACATAAAGCGAGCTTTGGTTTCTCAGGGTTGCTCTGCTTGCCCCTGGCCTTGAGCCGTGGTGACCGCCCGGGGGTGAGGGAGGAGGAGGAGGAGGAGGAGGAGGAGGAGGAGGAGGAGGAGGAGTAGTCGGCGGCGGTGGCCTATTCCAACAGTGAAATATTTATAACGAAAGCTGGATGCACAGGGCTAGCTGGACAAAGCCGGTAGGGAGGGATGAGATTATATGGTACGGCTTCCTCAGAAGGTCTCCACCAAAAGGGAGCGGCTGTCTTCAGTTACTCGGGGATAGAGGAATGGCCTTCAAGCTGGCGGTGTTAGCCCTGCAGAGTTGATGCTTGTTCCTTTCCAGACTGTAACTCTGTGTTGTACCACATCTCAGTTACACTTTAGGGTCCTCCGAAAAGCAAATCCTGTCGGAAGACAAGGAGCTTCTCAATCTGGAAAGCAGAGTTGAAATAGAGAAGTCTATAAAGCAGGTAATTTTGCTCTAAATTTATGCCCTTGTTTGAACAGTTTCCTGCAGTGACCAGATGACCCCTCCCCATGGCCCTGTGATGTCATCTGTTTTGCTTTTAGCACTTTAGCGGTGAGAAAGTGCTCATCATCCATTAGGGAGTTGAGCTGTGAGCTGAAGCTGTGTCAACAGAACAGCGAACACCTTCCATGCTGAGCTCAAAACCGTACTGATTCTAAACCAGAAGTGTAGCCTGGAGCAAAGCAATATTTAAATTGTTTACAAATATTTGTATGTGTCTGCGTGTCTTTGTGCTTTGCCTGCATGTATGCATGTGCACCATGTGTGAGCTGGATGGCTGTGGAGGCTGGAAGAGGGTGTCGGATCCCCAGCCAGGTCTCAGGGTTGAGCCAGGGTGGCCAGGCTGAGCAGCAGGTGCCTTTGCCTGCTAAGCCAGCCTGTGGCCTTGAGCCGATTGGCTTGCCTGGTATTGGGCTCGTTGCTGAACACTCAAGTTTCTTGAGATGGACAGGATGGCGAATTCATGTGTAGCTGTAGATTGTGGGTCAGGTTGTGACTAAAGCTAGTAAGATTATGAGTATGTCTCATTCACAGGAGACTCACTCATCTAAAGAGTTTCGTTAGGCCGAATATCTTCATCTATGCCATACATAACAGTCACAGAGGTGTGACTCATTTTAACCATTCGACTGTGAGCAGTAATTATACTCAGACTTGTGTTTCTCCATGCCTTTTCAATCCGGTAGATGGAAGACGTCCTGAAGGCCTTGCAGACGAAGCTGTGGGAGGTTGAGTCAAAACTGTCCTTGGCTGGCTGCTGCCGCTGAGCTGCCCTACCCCACCTGCCCCACCCTGTTCCTCATGGGTAGTCAGACTCCTTCTGTGTACTTTAGGGGAAGAAGTAACTGTTCTCCGTATGTGAATTTTAAAGCCAGTTTATGATACATGCTGGAACGAGGTTTTGTGAGTTTTTATTTTATTAAAAAACGGGGTGATTTTTCTGTCTTTTTTTTGTTAAATTCATTGTACGTGTGCATTTTTCTATTTTTTAAAAACTTTGTCACTTAATACTTTGGATATTAAAGAGTGAGTAGTAAGAAAATCTTAATTGTTTTTCTCATCTGCTTTGTGGTATAGTCTTTGAAGATTAGTGCTTAAGCCTCTGGAAAAACTGGTCAGTCCACTTGCTAGAATGACTTGGAAATTTGTGCAAGAATAACCTACCATCTCATCCTGCTGTGGAATCTTCATGCTTAAAATGCCATCTGTATGCAGTGAGATCCCATCCTGCTGTTCACTAGATGCTTAAAAATAACATCTGTGTGCAGTGAGATTCCATCCTGCTGTGGGATCTTTATGCTTAAAATACCATCTGTGTGCAGTGAGATCCCAACCTGCTGTGGTATCTTCATGCTTAAAGATACTTACCAAAGAGTATGTAACTTCTGGGGTAAGATTTTAGTGTAATATATTAGATTTCGATTTTCTATAATGTAAAACTTTTATAATGAACATTTATTATTTTATAATAAGAAAGAATAAAGATTTTTAAAATGCTTGAAGGTTCATTTGTTTGTTTACAAACTAAATTGATATTTAAGTGATAAAAAAATTCTGGGGCCCTGAAATCTACATACTCTGTGATCTGCTCGGCCCAGACCCCTTTTTAGGTGCAGAGGAGGCTCCTCACGGCACCCTGTAGTGCTCATTCACTCAGTTTCTGAGCAGTTGTTTCTGAAGCATTCTGAGAAAGTTAGAGTCACAGTCAGTGTAACTAAGCGTGTGCCCCTAGTGACCGGAAGGCTTTTGCGGGGGTGAGGTGGGGTGGGGTGGCATTTCAGATCCAAACTGTGACATAATGTATGAACTCCGTTTAGTGGTTGTACTTGACAATTGAATACATGCCTCAAACAGAAGAAGATGGACCATGGAAGCGCCTGTGGTGTGCAGGAGGTGGTGTTTGAGATGTTTAGAGATACCTGAGCTGCTAGGTAAACCTCTGGCAGCTTGAAGTTGGGCAGAGAGGGGTTGTGGGTATTCTATTAGAGAAATCAAGTACTGAAAAACAGTCAGGGTTTCCCTCTTCCTTCCGAGCTGGTTTCCTAGCACCGTAGTCTATTTCAGTCTTGCTCCATCCTGTTTAACTTAGCATTTAGAAGACAACACTCAAAAGACCATTCTTAACATCTCATTTGTTAAGTAAAAAATGAAAGTGTCTTACAACCAAAGGATTATAGCCGCATTCTTCATTGCTTCCAGAGAAAAAGCAAAATACTTGAAAACAAATGACTGGGAATCTTACATAGCTGCTGTCACAGATACCCTTTTTATTCTCCCTGAGTGAGAAATTGGTCAGTGTCTGCGTGTAAACAGGCAGCAGAAGCACTTGCCGTCACTGCTGAACAGTGGGTGGACAGTAATTCACACTTCACCTCACCACACGTGTGGGGTACTCAGTCTTTGTAGTGGCACCTTTTCCCTCTGTGCATGTGTGTGCTTGTGCACGTATGTGCTCATGTATGTGTGGAGGCTGGAGGTTGGTGTCAGGTGTCTTCTATCTTTCTGTACCTTATTTTTTGAGACGGAGTCTCTAAACCTGGAGTTTGATAACTTGTCAAGACTAGCTGGCAGTGAGCCCCAGAAGCCCTTTGCCTCTGCCTCTCCGCTCTGGGATTACAGGTGTGTGTGTGTGTGTGTGTGTGTGTATGAGTGTGTGAGGTGTGTGTGTGTGTATATGTATGTGTATGTGTGTGAGGTGTGTGTATGTGTGTGAGATGTGTGTGTATGTGTATGTGTGTGAGGTGTGTGTGTGTATGTGTATGTGTGTGAGGTGTGTGTGTATGTGTATGTGTGTGAGGTGTGTGTGTATGTGTATGTGTGTGAGGTGTGTGTGTATGTGTGTGTGTGAGGTGTGTGTGTATGTGTGTGAGGTGTGTGTGTGTATGTGTATGTGTGTGAGGTGTGTGTATGTGTATGTGTGTGAGGTGTGTGTATGTGAGGTATGTGTGTGTGTGTGTGTGAGTCTGGCGGGCTGAGCTTTTGCTCACAGGTGTGCTCTGTCTCACACTCGCTTCTCTGTAGTCCTCGCTTGTCCTCTTTGAGGTCCTGTAACATCCTCCTAGTGAACTGCAGATCGCTCAGCCGTGGTCATTATTTCCCAATCAGTAAATCACTGGCTTCACTATCTTGTGATACTGTGTTCTAGACTTGGGGGAACTAGTCCTTCAAAACTTAAGATGTCCTAACACCAGTGACCTGAGAACCCAAAGTGTCGGACCCTGAACACTGAATGGAGGCAATTAATAATGATTTTTTTTAAGTGAAAAGAACAGTTTTATCCTGTCTACTTGTTTATCAGTTACAAGGATAAGTGGCACTATCTGTAAAAGCTAAGCATAGAAAGTGGTTGTCTAAATTCCCCTTAATATTTTAGGATTAACGTATAAGAATAAAAAGAAACACCCCCAAGTGAAGTGGTAATGTAGGATTCAGCATAAAATGTTAACGGTAAATAGGAATTCGGGGGGAATTATCAAACTCAGCTCATTTACATGTGTAATTACCCACCTGTGATCATTCTGCTGTTGTGTCTTCCATCTTTCTCCTCCCACACAAGTTAAAAATACTTGGTATTAAAAATTATTTTTTACTAACCGAATACAATGAATTCTTAGAATTAGAGGTAAAAGTATGACTATTTGAAATAGGAAATCTGATCACAGCAGGTGCTCACTGTGTGCCACATGTGAGTGAGAAGCCCAGCAGACAGGCATCATAAGTGATTTGCAGATGTGCAAACCTCAAGAGAGAATTTGGAGGTAAATAGGCCAGAGAGCGTCCTACTGCACCCAGGGCCAGGAGAACCAGCCCTAGCTCTGTTCATGTAGAACCCACAGGGCATAGACACATGCCAACCTGAAATGTCGCCACATGTTAGGGGATGGCCTCTGTGACCCCACAAGGATGCCCTTCTCCCTGAGAAGAATGATCTCAAAGCAGGGGTCTCAGGTTTGCAGGATGAATTGGTCCCAGGGCCTCAGTATTGACAAGGAATTATACCACCCCCACAACCTTGACTTCATTGGGAGGACAGGAGCCTAATGGGAATGTCATCCTGGGACATGCAATCCCCAGAGTGAAGAGGCCCGAGTGGAGCTGTGCTGGGGCATCCCATGTGGCAGGGACTTCCTCAGAGTCCTGGAGCTGCTCAGAATGGACATCTCCATGGCAGTGGTTTCAGAAACCCAGTCTCCAGGCCTTCCCTGCAATTCACAATGTGAACTTGTGTTTCCATCTGTTTTACCTCTTCCATGTACAGTAGCTTAGTGTCATTAGGCAGATATACTTGTGTATATATATTGCTTCCTGAATCAGACCACAAGGGGCCGCATTTCACCACATAATTACTCACCATGTCTGGCTACTCACTAGCGCCAGGACAAATTGGGTGGCTGCTGGAGTCTCTTCCAACTAACCTGGAGCATCAGAAGCTTCTTGGTTAGATAGCACAGCCGGGACTCCCCCAGCCCCTTTATACCCTAGTCCCCATCAGATTACTAACAGTCTGTCAGCTCACCCCTAATACTGTTTCCTCGTACGTGCCTGCAAGCAGTCTCCCTGAGACTCAGATCGTACTTGGGAAGTTAATTATGGTTTCTCTTTCACTCGCTTCCTATGTTTCCATGACTCCGGTTCATTACTAAACCCCCTTCCTGAATTCTGACTCCCTAATACCTGTGTCTGCCGGCTCCATTTGGAATTGCCAACTGAGAGATGTCGGGCTTTGGGGGAGATGCTTCTAATCACCCCACCAAAATGCTTGACTCACAAGGACTTCTCAAGAGTTCTCCCCATTTGTCTCCATGTCACTAGCTTCTTTGGAAGGCCTAGGGAACGGTACTGTTAATGGAACTAGGCATCCAGAGTACTTTCGGTGAGTCCTTTTTCCAAAATGTAAGAAGATGAGGGCAGTTGGAGTTGGCCCCCCTCTCTCTCCAGCTTCCATAGCCATGAATTCAGAGAACCACAGATCAGAAATGTGGGAGGTGCTGGGGAGAGAGCTCAGCCGGTAAAGTGCTTGCCTTGTAAGCATCAGGATCTGAGTTCGATCCCTGGAACCCAGGTCAAGAGCTGGCCATGGTTCTGAGTGCCTATAATCCTAGCACCGGGAAGGTAGAGACAGGAGGATCTCTAGGACTCAGTGCCTGCCGATCTAGCCTAATTGGTGGCCTCGGGTCCCAGTAAGACCCTGTCTTAACATAAAAACAAGGACGATGGCTTTCGAGGAACAACACCCAAGGTTGAACTCTGACCTCCACAGGTACCTACACACACACACACACACACACACACACACACACACACACACACACACACACTGTCCACTTCCCACAAATACTTGAAAAAAGTTAAATCTATGCTGAACATCTGTAGATTCCTTTTCGTTGTTAGTTCCTAAATAATAACTTATAACATAATTTGCATAGCATTTACATTGTGCTAGGAATCAAAAGTAATTGAGAAGTGATTTAAAGTGTGGGCAGATGTGCCTCGGTTATGTGCAAAATAGAACGCCGTTTTGTAGCAGGGACCCCCATGGGTACCGAGAAAGAACTGTGCTTTATGTTTCCGTTTGCTGAAACGCAAATGTTTGCATTCGTGTGTTAAATTATGCTCAACGTTAACAGCGGAGGCAAAGGTGGTTCTCTGAGGTGCAGCCAGACAGAGCTTTGTAGTCTGGGTCCTGCCATGCCGGTAGCAGATGGTGCCATTCGTACCCTTGACCTCCTGTTTCCCAGCCCTGTCCCCAACCATGGAATGAGGAATTAAAATGACCTGTAAAGTTCCCCTTCAAATTCATTTAAAAAAATAGAAAAGTGTTAATTTTTTGTTACGTTTATTTATTTTATGTGTGTCTGTGTGTGTGTGTTTGTGGGGGGGGGGGTGATGCTTACCACAGCGCACGTGTGGAGGTCAGAGGACAACTTGCAAGCGTCACTTTTCTCCCTGTGGGTCGCAGGGCACAGATTCTGCTGGTCAGGCTTGTCAGCAAGCACCTTTAGGCACTTGCCGTCTCTCTGGCCCCTGCAATATTTGTTTTAATTAAGTGAAGGTTTGAGTGCTACTAATCTGAAAGCCCAAACTCTGAAATCCGAAACTTTCTGAATGCTAGCGTGATCCCATGAGTAGAAACTCCACAGTCAGCCTCATGTGATGGGTCGCAGTGAAAAACACATAGGGCTAAAATGAATGTGTGAAGTTCCTTCCGCTCTACTTCTGTAAGATGGGTATGGAAATAGTGTCGGTTGTCCATTCAGTCTCTGCTCCCATCCCCCAGGCTTCTCATTGTATTATGCAAATATTTCAAAATCTAAACATATTGAAATATCAAACAGTTCTTCCCCAAGCATCCGATAAGGGACACTCAGTGGATACTGCTTTGAAATGGCAACTGTGCCTGGGCAGGTAGAGACTCCCATGCAGCACTTGAGTCCTGGTGGACATTGACCATCCTCTGCCTGGTAGAAGAGACCAGAAGAGAGGTTTGGAACAGAGTGCCGCC